TCATTCGAGGAGTTTCAAAAGACAGTTATTTGAATATTCGAGCCAACTTAAAAGACAATTCTTCGAATATTCGAATATTAAAGATCATTCACTCGAACATCCGATGTCAAAAGAAAACTTCAGCTGTTCTACATTGAGTGCAGACATGTCCCCCCTCGGCCCATCATACAAATGAATGATCATATGACAGAGTGGCTAGCGAGGTTCCGTTTCAAGGCAATCGCGAGTCATGGAGCATAGTGATGACAAGTCTTGTGCATAATTCTTTGGAGTGGTGAACTATCTTCTCGAAATTGCGTCTGCAGTAGTTGAGATGCGATATCATGCGCAAATACTTCCAAGCTCTAAATTGGTGATGAAGCAAAGCCGTCGTTAGGTTAGGCTCTACTTTAGCGGAATACTGGTCCTCAAACGGCTTACATAAGCATGTGAGAGACTAACAGCCCTTTAAGGCAGCACGAATTGACAACATTCATTCATTCATCCAGAGATCTCCACTTGCCTTGCCAGCCTACCACCCGCATGTCAAAATGCCTGAATGATACGTTAACCAGCGCAAGGCCAGAGCACGGTCGCGAGGTCTTAAGCCGCTTCAACTTGTGGCGGCAACCTGTATGTCAGTCACCATGCTCAAATCGGCTGTCTTTATAGTCAGGAGGCGTAAAAAACTAGTGTTCAAATGTTACAAAGTTCATAGAGGAGTAATACTTTGAATAGGCGTGTAATTGAACAATGAATATTTTGAAGCTGAGTAAAAGATGTGGAAGGTATCTTACAACAAAAGTACAAACCTCAAAAATAAAGCTAAAACAACTTTGTGAAAATTCAATAATACGACAGAAACTGCGAAACTCAGCTAATAATTTCCGACAAGTATTAGATTAGCAGCCAATATACAGATATTTCCATAATTTTTCTTCCTCTGGGTTTAGATGCGCACAAAAGTATTATGTAGACAACAGTGCGTCACCTCTGCTGCAGAGCTTCACTGATTCCATTACTGTAGGCCATTCTCGTGCTCTCCCAGTGCTAGTCTCAAAGCTCACGCAATGCTGACCATCACGAATAAATTACAAACAACTACCTTTTCCAAAAGGTTTTCCATGTTGAATTTCTAGTTTTGGGAGGAAGTTCCGTGTAGCTTCGGGAAAATTTCTTTGAGAAAGAGTTAATGCGACTTGAAATGGTTACAAAGTGAGGCTCAATAACCGTGGACAATGAATACATTACAGTACATGTTTGAGTGAAATTCTTCTGTTTCCTAGGTAGAACCCTCCAAGCGATAATAACCCAGTCATCCTTACCACTTGCTATGCATATAATCACCAGGTACAAATCTGATCAAATATAGTAATATTTTTTTCTGCTGAAAACTGCAACAAAGAAAAAACCAGCGATGCTTGAGCCACTAGATTATTCGACTTGTTCGAATAGTCGAACATTCGGACAGGTTTGATTATTCGAATAATCGAATAGTCGAATATTCAACCATATGTAATTACTCGATTGTTCGAATAATCGAATATTCGACCTACCCCATTTATTCGAACACGTTCATTTGAATTCTGAAATGTAGCATTATTCTTTCGAATTCGAATTATCGAATCACTTATCGAATATTATTCATTCGTTCGAATATTTTTCAAAGGCCGATTACTCATATTCGTTCGTTCGACGAAATTTTTCGGTCGTTGCAACTATAGTGTTAACTCTATCAGCTGATGTGTTCTAATGGCACAAAGGAGCCACCATACTCCGCAATTAATCGCTACCCTTCAAGACATAATCGCCTAAGCCACCTCATTTGACTAGTGCATCGACCAAATAATAGCGATACTGCCTCGCTCAAGCGACTGCACAATAGTAAGCTGTTCCCTTGAAACTTAGCGCGATCTGCTACCTCGCACTTAGCAATAGCTATCTATTCCCTACCGCACTCATGAACAACTTTCTTTAATCTCTGCTCAAGGATTAGCCAAGGGCTCAAATGCAGCCACGTATGTGCTAGAATTGCAGTTTTCGACATCAAAAATGTCTGTCTTGAAAGAGGCAAGTCTGATGCGAAATTGAACATCTAATAATCTAAAAGGCTCAGGTTGCTTGTAGAATGATCTATTATATACGCTCATTAGGCACAGATTCTCAGTGACATGTTAAGTTGTGAGTCAACTCACAAGGGAACCGTGTCGAGTCGAAGTGGTCTTTCCAGATGAGACCCATACCGCTTTGACTTCCAAATCTGCCAAGCGCCTCTGAACGCCGAGTTATGACCGTTCTTCGGAACGAAAAATAAATGCAGAACTTACGTAAAATTGATTGTTACAATCTTTCCAGAGCTCAGATAAAGCAATGTTAAGTATTAGCATGTTAAATAAAATGTATCCATTGCGTAAACAGCTCTGATACTTGACACTGGACCATTTGAGCAAATTTGGGCGATTTTGCTTCAGTTTTGCGTTCTATTTTTTGACCTGAAAAACGAGCACTCGGCGTCCAGAGGCGCTTGGCAGATTTGGAAAGCAGACTTGGAATCACCGATCAATGCTCTTCAAAGCAGTATGGGTCTCATCTGGAAAGGCCACTTCGACTCGACACCGTTTCCTTGTCAGTAAATTATTAGGTCGGTATAAAGTTTCGTCAGTTTTCAACCTATTAGCAAATCCCGTAAAGTAAAGCGAAACAAATATTCAAAGCAGCATTCAATGCAAAATTTCGTCCTAGTTTCATGTGCTCTGCACTTGGGAATCTTCCGAGAAGCGGGATAGTCGCCAAAGCCTGCGACTTTATTTTTTCCACATCTTTTTCCTAATCTCCAGGACCTACTTGTTTCTGAAAAAGTTCTGCAGCCAACAGATGATTCAAACTATTTTACAAATCATGCTGAGTATTTCTTATTCTCGCTTGTTCTCCTTTCAGGTGCAAAATTAGAGACAAAAGAACCGCAATTCTCCTTTCCTTTTTTAAGTGCGTACTGTTACGCGCGAAATTTCAACATCTTCACAAGAGTAATCGCTCATTTACTTTCTAAGGTCGCGGTGGTAACAATAATCAAGTTTTGGATTTTTCCAGTAAACCCCGCTTTTGAAATAATCCAAACTGCGTCAAATTGCAAACCTTTGCTCTATCTGCTAGCTATTAAAGTTCCTTTGGAATCAAGTCAAAATTCTCATAATTAGTTTGGACATAGTCAAAATGAAGGGATCTAAGCTTTGGCCATTATCTCAGCAGGTACGAGCACAGTTGAAAAACAAAGTTGTCCTAGTGAATATTACCCGAGACAAGATCAAAACACGACCGGTACCTAACCGAATTTATAACAAGACTTGTATCATGCGAAATTGCGTAGCTGCCCTTATGGAAAAGCTGGAGATTGTTCAGAGTCTGGCGTTGTGTATTAAATAAAATGTTTGGCGTGCTCCGCCATATACATGGTGAAACAGGTAGACCATTGTGCGTGCGCGTAAAAGGGCATTTGGCTAGCAAAAAGCGGCAGGACGTAATGAGACCGCTAGGAAAGCAAAAGATAGATCATAGCGGTACCGATTTCGACATCAAGTGCATAATCTTGGCCTACGAAAATCATATCTCCGCTAGAAAGGCCCTCGAGGCATCCCGTTCTTGTCCTTGACCCCAAAAACAAGAATAAACAATTATTTGTAACTGGAGATAATGCCGAATCTGACATATTGCAAACTATAAGATCATTTGCTCTATTTATGCAGTTCGTATCGCGACTGTTATTCTTAACATCGCAGTCAGTTGACATGACTGTCTCTTCTCAACGCCGCAATTGGCTCGAATACATCTGAAGCAGTTGTTACTGCTACAAATTACAATGGCACATTCTGGTGAGTCAAACTCTACTCGTGACTTCCTGCTTCCTCTGAAGACCATTCGAATGGTCGAGTGGGAGGAGATGTTTGGCGTCTAAAAAAATCGAAGTGACTGACTTCTTTCAAGCCTCCAACGATGACTTGTGCCGAAACGTTAGGCAATAAAGTGTCACCTATGACAACCTGTACGGCAGAATAAAAGTATTGAAATCAGTTGCCACATTATGCCCAGGTTTCAAGACAGTAGGACATATGACACACTATCTCAGCGTTCGTCAGATGCATGTCAAAGTAAAAAGTTTGCATCTTGGGTCTTGTTTCTCCAAAAGATCTCGATTATAATGCTTTATCTTATATATAAAGCTGAATGTCTGTTTGTATGTCTGTATGTCTGTATGTATGTCTGTCTGTCTGTCTGTACGTATGTTCCGAATAGAAAATTCCATTTCTTAACCGATCCGGACCAAACTTGGCACACATACACCTCGGGCCCCGGCGGGTGTCACAGTCACTTTTCGTTATCGATCGATGTCGATTTTAGCGATTTTTTGCAAAATTTGAGCTACGGGGCTGGGAGTTGGGGTGATCAGCATGCTCGATTACACCCCTGTGCCAACTCCCAGCCCCGTAGCTCAAATTTTGCAAAAAATCGCTAAAATCGACATCGATCGATAACGAAAAGTGGACTGTGACACCCGCCGGGGCCCGAGGTGTATGTGTGCCAAGTTTGGTCCGGATCGGTTAAGAAATGGAATTTTCTATTCGGAACATACGGCGGAGCCGGGTAAGCCAACTAGTTATAGCATAAATGAGAAATTTGTTATCGAAGCGCTGAGGTTTACAGCGCTTTTGGAGGAGCAGTCGGGTGCGCACCTTAAGGCGACTTCAGGGAGCTACGCGTACTCAACGTAAGGGTGGCGTGAGGCATGAGCGCCCGCACACGGTGAAGGCTGCCATCAGTGTCTGAGAGGTGAATCAGTACAAAAATTGTCAGAGCATGAATTACAGCAATGCTATCCACGTGAGACGTGCATAACCCACCCTGAGTACTTCCGTGTAATGTTTTTCATGTATTGCTTCTGCCGCTGCGGATTCGTGAGCAAAAATCTTTTTTCTTTGCCTTTTTGGGGTAGCCTGATTAAAAAGTATGTCGTACCAAAAACCCACCCCTAGGAAGATTTCTTTGCATGAAGTGCATTCGTATCACTACACAACAGTATATCAGCATTATTATGATTAGAACCACTGTCGTTACGAGAAAAATAATTTCGATGATACCCTGAAAAACTATCATCAGCTTGTCCCAAAAGTTTCTAACGTTTGCAAAAAAATCATATTTTCTTCACTACCTAAGTTAAGATTACTCGATAGAGTAAAAAGTACACAAGCGTCTAAACGCTCAATGTGTGGTCCAAAAAGTTTATAGCCAGACCATCAAACTCTGCTTCAACTTGTTCTGCTCTACTCGCGACAGGCGAATTACACGCGTTCAGAAACAGAACAGGGTTAGCGTATTATTATCAAGTAAAGATGACTGCTGGTAGGCAGACGAAGCAACCGAAATGGCAACTATAGTTTGTAGCTCAAACCACTTTAAAATATACTCAGACAATAACTCGGACGAGCGGCGGACCTTGATTTGATCAACGGCGGCCCATCCTTTCAAGCGGGTGGGCGGCGTACCATCATTATCATACTCCTTATCTTACATCATCTTGAAGTTCTCTCACTGCAGTGTTCATTTTCTCAAAATGCTGTTTTCATGGCCTGATGGCTATTTGAGCCACTAAAATGATTCGAGGTTAGCCGTTGCCGATGAATTCTCTCTGCATTCATTACACCCTTGAAAGCGGAAATGAGGAAAGAAGCGGATATAAAGAAGTGAATTTTAACTATGACAACGACTGATTTCTGGCATATGCAGAAAGCCGAAGAATTTTAGGAGAATTTTCGATAACAAGAGGTTTTTGGTTCTTCTGCAAAGCTAAAGAGGTAACCAAAAGTGAAGATAAGTCTGAGATGGACGAAGTTAGAAGTAGGTCTAGTTTGATCGTGTTGAAAGCAAGTGCATCACGATGTTTCAGAGTCTATTTAATGTGTATCTGCACAGATCGCAAGTAAAGGGTTATCCGAGTGAATTTTGAAGCTGAATCCGCGGCCTCTTTTACATGGTTTGCTCTTCTTGAAAATTCAGGAATTTCCACTTACTATTCAGTTTCTTTTAGGGACTCTGCGACATCTGGGCTGGTATGTATCAATCGCCCGTCCGGGTAAGTTACCCGGACAGATAGTTTCCGCTTCATAGCTCGGTGCTTTGGGGATCTGTGCTCTTCCATGTTTGTTCATCTTTCGAAGGCTCTACTACCCTAATACTGTAGCACAATGAGTAGCAGCACTTTGCTGTATAAGCTGAGATAATTCGTTATTTCTATGATCCCGAGCGGGATCTCCCACTGATCACGCTCATTTTCAAAGTTATTTATATCCGCAAAAACTCAATGAAAACGTCATAGAGTTTTGCTGTCGATCTATTACGACAGTGCTACGCATGTTTGTGAAAGAAATAAGTGGAAAATCAAGTTGACAAAATCTTCGATGAACCTGTGCTCGCGAGTTGGGCTTTATCGAAGAACTCAAAACTTGCACATTTCATCTGTTATACTAAAAACATGCGTAGCACTGTCGTAATAGATCGACTATGACGTTTTCATTGAGTTTTTGCAGATATAAATAACTTTGAAAGTGAGCGTGATCAGTGGGAGATCCCGTTCGGGATCATACAAAAAACAAAATATCTCAGCTTACAAAGTAAAGTGCTGCTACTCATTGTGCTACAATATTAGGGTAGTAGAGCCTCCTATAGATGAACAAATAAGGAAGAACACAGATCTCCAGAGCACCGAGCTATGAAGCGGAAACTACCTGTCCGGGTAACTTACCCGGATGGGCGATTGATACATACCGGCCCTGGTTCCCTTCATCACGTAAAAGGAGATCCACATCAACTACCATTGTCTTTTTCATATATGGTGGATGGAATATCACTTGTCATTTTCTGCGTTTTGTGTTGTTGCTTACGCGTCCTAATGTGACCATTAGAATGCGTTGTAGGAATCAGATTGTGTGTCTGTAGCCAAAGTTGCAGACTATAAGCGTTAGGCAGCAGGCTGTCGGAACCTTGTAATCCTATAAAGAAAGGGCCGGAGGCGGGAAGCACGATTAGTAGCCCGCTAAGGGCACTCCGCTCGTCTCGTTTGATGTGCGAGCGGACGAGCGGAGCATTATTAGCGGGAGAATGGAGGGAAGTGACGGTCGCCCGCTAAAGGTACTCTGCTCGCCCGCTTAATATCTCTAGCGGGTGGGCGGTGTGTCTCTGAAGGACGAGCGGCGGGAGGCATGATCGCCCGCCCGGTAGAGGCCCGCCGCTCGTCCGAGTTATTGTCTGAGTACATGCCTATACCTGTAATTCATACCACAGGAGTCAATTCTTCGATGGATGGTTGTCAGAGAAGAGTCGCGATCTTGCAGAGAAAGCAGAAGAGGCGATTACCAATGAGCCGCTATGATGGCCGGGGATGACTGCAAACATAGGTGCCGCACGCTGGCTACGAGTAGCAAATGAACTTCACTTATCTTGGCGGTTTTGCATGAATGATTCCTTCGAATTCATAGAGCTAGGACAGGCAAAGTTCTGTCAAGACATGTGATTCTATCACAACTCAAGGGCTTTTATGTTTATGTTTTTGTCGTGCTTGTCGTAGTCCAGCCTCTTCAGCCCGCGAGGATCTTCCTTTTTATGGTCATCTAGCTGGCTTACTCGGCTCCGCCCGGCCCTGTCAAGACAATATAATAAAGGTCCCATCCCTATCCATGTACAGCCTTTCCTTGTCCACTTCTACATGCCCACCCTACTCCCGCTGAATTAGGCTCCCGCCAGAATGCCGAAGCCATGCCAGCGCTGCGCCAGCGTCGAGTTAGCGCCGAGCTGTCCTCACGCTTTTTCGATCGATACAGGTGCATTTCATTCGGGGCGGGACTAGCTGACCTAGTTCTCAGCCAGGTAAATGCGCCGACTATTGATCGAAATCTCTGAAAAAGCTCCGGTGGCGCTTTGTCGGCACAGGGTCAGCTAACCCCGCCCCGAAGTAATGCACGTGTGTGGTTAGAAACAGTGCCGGGACAGCTCGGCGCTAGCTCGACGCTGGCTCGGCACCGGCGCTGCGCTGGCGTGGCTTCGGCACTCTAGCGAGAGCCTTAGTAATCAGCATGCTCACTTACCCCCCCCTGTGCCGAACACCAGCCCCGTAGGTCGAGCTTTGCGAATCGATAAAATCGATAAAGATAACGAATAGCTTTTGCATCTAATATAGTATTTCAGCATGTTCGACCCCCTGCGCCAACTCCCAGCCTCGTAGACTTTGTAAAAAAATAAAATCGATATAGATCGATAATGAAAAGTAGGTACCACACCGCCCACCTGTACACTCGAATCATTTCACATGATCATGTGTGCAACAGCATACAGTGTATTAGGTTGTTGCATAAGTTCTGTCCGATTTTTTTTGCCTTATGTTTGAAGCAGCTTCTAAGAGAATTTCATTTCTAATGCGATATTGTTAGTGTCATCAAAAAGTGCTTTTCTTGCGCTTTCTATAGCATATCAAATTTCAATAAATATCTAAGTGTAAGAAGATTTGGTACTTTTCCGTTATCCGGACCCATTCTTTCAAAGAAAGAGATTGCTTCTATCCTTGTACCATATTTTGTCCCAGCTTCACAGAAAGGAGCGTCAACCTTCTGCCACGTGTCAAAAAAATTTGACATGTCATCTACTTGTTTAACAGGTTTCACCAAGAGTTTGTGTTACCCTACTTAGCAATGTAAGTTTATTATTTAGTAATTTTGACCTCATTTCGATCAAACAGCTTCGAATGAACATCGTCATAATATTAACGACATACTATCATCGATGACAGTTTAGACTTGCTCAGAATAGAGAAGTGCGCTAGGATTCCGTTAGTTAAGAGGCGAAATAAGCAGCAGCAGGGCAGTTCAAGCTACCATTTATAATCTTTTCTGGCTAAATACGCATGGCGAAAGGGTTTGAAGAGAAATACATTTTTGAATCACTGCTGAAAGCAAGCAAGATGTTCTAAAATACGTTCATGATTGTTCTGTGCTTATGTAAAACAGTTAAACAGCTCTAAGGTGATCACGAATCCTCTTTTATCTCACGGAAATAATTTCGAGAAAAACATGTCAAAACAAACCAAAACGTGTTAATTTTTTCGTGACACGTGGCAAGCAGGCAGTCATCGTAGAATCTATGAAAAATTGTTCTTAAAGGCAGTGTCCGGGCAAAAACTCGATTTTGAGATTTTGTGCTTACCCGGGCCTATTCGCTATGCTGAATCCGAAAATCCATATTGGAGAGCGCGAAAACGACGAAAAACGGCTCTAACACTGGAGGGAAATTAGCAAGTGGGCGGGGTCTTCCCCACTGTGAATTCACGCTTCCAGCATCCAGAGAAATTTTCTCGAATCCATTAGCCGCCCTGACATCACTACCGATCAAGTGCAAACGAATGACTTGAAACCGGAATCAAAAAGATCGTTCCCGAAGCTGGGAGCGTGAATTCACCGTGGGGAAGACCCCGCCCACCTGCTGATTTCCCTCCAGTATTAGAGCCCTTTTTCGGCGTTTTTGCGCTCTCCAATGCGGATTTTCGGATTCAGCATAGCAAATAGGCCCGGGTAAGCACAAAATCTCAAAATCGAGTTTTTGCCCGGACACTGCCTTTAAACTAAAGAACGTATAATATGAGAGCCTCTTGAAAAAATGGGTCCGGATAACGGAAAAGTACCGAAGATTTCAGGCCTAAATTCTCCAAGTGGTCGAGTTACGTTCTTACCCTAGATATGTTCTTGCGTTCCGGTCAAGTTTTCCAATTGGTTGCGGAATAAGGGTGTAATAGGCTAGCACCGAAGTGTATGTGTGCCAAGTTTGGTCCAAGTCGATTCAGGAATAAAAATTTCTATTCCGCACATACGTACACACAGACAGACAGACAGACATACACACATTCAGCTTTATATATAAGAAGATGTATACCATATTAAAAGGCATAAAATTTTGATTCCAAATCTGCCTTTGTTATCTGCAGAACGTTTACAGACGAGGAGTTATGACCACTTACTCAGAGAATTGCATCGGTAAGTTCGCGGCCTCAAAGCGCGTTCCATGGTGCGCCGCGGCCCTTAAAATCTCAGCCGCGCACGCCGCGGCCCATGTATATTTTACCGGAAATGCCGCGGCCAAAGTTGAAATAGGGAAGAGATTATCGGGAGAGTCGCGGCCCAATCACCTCACTCGGCGCGCCGCAAGCCTTATTGAAGGCCGCACTTCTTACACGCTCCAGGTTAAGGCGCAACCTGCGTGAGGTACGCCGCAGCGATGGGGCTACCCTAAGTGTTTGTGAGTCTGGACAATCGCTTCTCAGATTTTCCTGTGTGTAGTTGAGTTTTCATGCTTACGAAACAAACTCCAGCAGTTGGATGAGTATTATCGACGACACTAGATGATGTCGACAGATGAGCTAACAAGTTGCTCAATTTGCACTCAAGTCGTTGTCATGAAATACACCCCAAAAATTTTTTCACTCTTCCTAGGCCTCACAAGCATGCTAATCGGGTCAACTATCGGACACTTACAGGATGCGCCGCGGTCACTTATCGGGTCCAATGTCGGTTTATACCGGGCAGCTCGCGGCATGGATGATTGGTGGCCGAGCAAGCACCCGCGAACTTCCCGATGCAGTTGTCTGAGTACTAAAGTAAAAATTGAATGCGCAAGTAGGACAAAAATAGCCGTAATACTTTTTCTAGCTCCTCATTGAAGCAGTGATGATTATCAAAGCACTTTTTTCAGAAAATACTTTATAATAAAAAATATACCACATTTAATTGCACTTTTTGGGGGTTGGGAAGGTTTTCGCAGGTTTTCTCCTTTTATCCAAAATGCACTTTGAATTTTGCGCTACAAAAAACGCTCATAACTTCTCGCCCATAAGGCTGGGTTCATTCCGATTTCCATGCTCCGGAACTGTTCCACACTTCTCACACAGTTCTCGCACTGTGCTGGGAATGTTCCGGAACTGTGCTGCATGCGCTGCAGCCGCCCCAGGGTGGAGGAATAAGGCCAAAATGAAAGAAATCTGGAAGAAACACCGTTGAGAACGGCCAAAATTCTCCAACTCCCACCGTTCATAACGGTGAAGGGCTGCAGCGCATGCAGCACGGTTCTGGAACAATTCCAGCACAGTGTGAGAACTTGCGGGAACTGTGCGGGAACAGTTCCGGGACATGGGAATTAGTATGAACCCAGCCTAAACGTTCTGCAGGCCAGGAAGGCAGATTTGTAATCAACATTTTATGCTCTTCAATATGATATGCAATCACGTTTAAAAAAGCCGCTTCGACCTAAACAAGCTTCCCTAATCACAGCTGCCAAAAATCTGTAATCATTGCGGTATAATGCGAAGCAGTTAGTTGTCGAGAAGCAGACTAATTAGAGTACGACAGTCCCCTCGCTGACTGGGCGGTGCCAACAACTTCATATGAGCTGACACTTCCCGAGTGCTCGGTGGTCCCCTCCCCAATTATGTTCCCCGACATTTATCGTATAATGGTATAACGATAATGATCTAGTCAGAAACTGTCATGTTATTACAAAGGAAAAGATTCAGGATAGAGGGATCAAGTTACGAGAATAGCTAACTCGTCAACTTGACAACCGCACTATGAAAAGAAAGACTTTTCTGTTCGGCGGCTTGGAAAAGGCTTTTATTTAATTACTTTTCACCAACTCCCTCGTTATCAACGTTAGGGAACGTTTGTCCCGTCCTGAGTTGCCTGCAAGTTGTTCAAAATTTGTCAAATTATGTTGTAGAATTATATGGCCATATCATAGCTTACCATGATCTGTAACGACAAATGTTCGGAATTTTCACTCCTTCGTCGTCTTCGAACATACTTTATTCTGCTATCTGCTGTCAATTTATTGTTTTCCCATGTCAGTATCATTTTCTACAACACTGCTCACTATTTCCTTGCGGATCATATACCCGTGTCACATTTCGTCAACAGTGCGGTCTTTATCCGTCTCCCTATACCCTATGTCACATTTTACCACCATGCGGAAGTCCTTATCCGCCTCCCGAAATGATTACGGAAGCCTCATCCGTATCTCAGTTTACTCATCATTCAAACTTCATGTTGCTTCATTTATCCTCAACTCGAGACGAGCTCCTTGTTCTGACAAAGCGTGCGAAAGCGTGATTTCTCATCCCTTTCCCCTTGTCCTCGTGAAGAAAAATCCAGCGACTAACGCCTGAAGCAATTCTCCCTCAACCAAGGCAGCAAATGGTATATGGGCAACATCAAATGTGCATATGGGCAACGTCAAATCAATGATGATATCTCAACTATACATATGGGCAACGTCCAGATCTAATGATGACACCTCCACTGCAACCATGGTTGGTCCACTACAAAAGCTCGAGGACGAGCTTTGCCATGGAATGAACATGTCGAGGCGCAGACTAATTAGAGTCCGACAGTCTCCTCGCCGACCGGGCGGTGCCACCAACTTCATATGAGCTGGCGCTCCCCGGGTACTCGGTGGTCCCTTCCCCAGTTATGTTCCCCCACATTTATCGTATAATGATATAACGATAAAGATCTAGTCAGAAACTGTTATGTTATTACAAAGGGAAGAAACTAAGGGTAGAGGGATCAAGTTATGAGAATAGCTAACTCGTCAAGTTCATATTAGTAATAGTACGTTTGTTAACCTTTTTTTTCAGTTTGTCGTAATCTGCGCTGATAAAAAGTCTCTATAACCAAAAAGAAAAGTTGTTTTGTAAAAAGCTCCAAATCATTAATTTTACCGCTGCTTCTTCCTGAAAATATTGCTATTTGCAGAGACGGCCTTTCAGCACAAATTATCGATCATATCGATAGCTCATAAAATCATATGGGGACACGAACTTTATTCCATAATTTTAAAGTTGTGGTGAACTTGCTCAATTCTGCCGACAACTGAGTTTTCCCCCTTCTTCCAGTCTTGCTGCAACCTATGCTTGATAAAAAGCCACAAAGCTTCAAAAAAGTACAATAACCATTTTTGGAAATTCAACTGGGTAAAAAAATGATCCTTCAAGGACAATGCGACAAAAAAAAACCTTCCAATCCAGTACTTGTAGTCTTATGAACTTCAAGCTCAAGCCACTTTTCTGTTTTTCTCATCGCAGCGCAGTAACTCTGCAGGAAAGTGGAGGTACATAACTCGTGATATACGTCACGTCTAAGAACACGAGCTCTAGCTGGAGCAACGGCGCGACCTATGTTGGCGCGATTGACGGGTATGTCAAAAGATAGCCGGCAAATCAATTAGTGGTCTGCGGACCACTAATTGATTTGCCGGCTATTGAGATTGAGCTCGATCTCAGTTCGCGACTTCGTACGTCACCTCTAAGGGGGATTACTACGACCCTGATGTTCATGATTTTCAAATAATCATCTGTACCGAAGTCATATTATAGTCGTACACCACTTATTGACAATCACTCTAAACCCCGTAGGGCAAACAGCCTCAGAACCCAGGCTCCTAGCGCCTACATATCAACGTGTGATGATATGATGATACTGTTTCCGTGATCATCTGTTCAGACTCTACTTGGAATCTCCAAGTCCAGCAGACCCGGAGTCTCGTTGGCTGAATGTCTGTTTGCTTGTGTGCCTGTGTGTCTGTCTGTATGTATGGTCCGAATAGAAATTTTTATTTCTGAACTGATCCGGAAAACTACATACACTTCGGGGCGCGGCGAGTGTCGTAGGCTACAGAGCTCCTAAATTGCAGAGTCGTTTGCACCAGCGGTCGCGCGACCGCGTCGCGCCGGGGCATCAATGGCGCCGCCTCGATCGATGGCGCCGGCGCCGGCAACTGCCCGGGTGCGACGCGGTCGCGCGACCGCTGGTGCAAACGACTCTGCAATTCAGGAGCCCTGTAGTTTTCTTCATTTATCATCAATTTTATTGATTTTATCAGTATCTTTACAAAGTTTGACCTACGGAGCTGGGAGTCGATACAGGGAGTAATCGAGCACGCTGATTACGAATGCAATATTAGTTTCCAAAACTATCTGCATCTTTTGTACATTTTACCGATTTTTCTGCAAGTTACCTCGAGGCCGGGAGTTACAGGAGGGTAAGTGGGGAGGCGTGCTGATTACGAAAACAAAACGGCGATATGGAAAGCAAGTAGAAGTGAGCAGGGAAAGGTTAGTACGGGAATAGAGATAGTGACCTATGGGTTGTTTCATACTGCAGTCGCAGCACCGAGTGCAGTCAAATCGGCGCGGGCAAAAGATGTCGATCGATTGACTGCCGTTGCAGCGATTGCAGTATGAAAAAGTAAAAAAGTAAAACTTTGCAAGCATGCTCTCTGTAAGTAACTTGATGGTTCTACGATGTGAAAGTCGGGCTAGATACTCAACAAAATTATCAAATAATTCCAGATGCCGTTGCAAAGTCAAACCTCCGTGAAAAAATTACGTCCGATCCTTGTGATTTGTTCATAACTACATCATTAGCAGTCCAACTTGCCGGATAAGATGATAATGCCTCCGAACCCCTATCGGACAGGATAAGACAGCCACGGAACTGGATATACAACAGCACTCAACATATCATCGGCCCTCAAATTCGTGCGGAGGCGGGTTGCGGACTTTCTTTAATTACCCTAATTTCATGCGTACAAGGCGCGGGGGATTTTTTCCCAAAATTAACTAGCACGAATACGCCTAAGAACTTCGCAACCAAAGGACCCTATGCCGTGTTGTATATTGCTTAAGAGAATCATACGGGGTAGAGGAACGAACGCCTCAATTAGGCATCGCCTCCGCGGGCTGCTGGTCCTTTCGTCCTACTTTTGTCATCGTGTTGGGACCAAAGGTCCGCGGAGGCGGTGCCTAATTGAGGTGTTCGTTCCTCCACCCAATCGTACGGCATAAGGATTGCTTTCCGAAATACTTTGAAGCGGCTGAGAGGCTTGGTTGAAAACCGAAAAAGGTGCGCCTTGTACGCGTGAAATTAGGGTAAGAGAATAAACTTGTTAGATCTCCATGCTACAGCAGTATTTTTCGTATCTCAATAACTTTAGCCCGCAACCCTCCTCCAGACGACTGTGAAAGCCGATCATACGCAGCAACATACACAATCAAAAAATTACTGCGTAGATAGCACTACATCGTTTATTACAAAATTCTCAACATAAACCAGTAATGTTCAAACTCGGACTTCCATAAAATAATTTTGAATAGAATACCCATATCAAACGGAACAAGTCACGGCAATATCAGCCCACAAAAAATTCAAGCTAAGGATCACAGACGCTGCACTATCAATATAAGAAAGATATAGGGATAGTAGATAAAATAAATTAAGGCAGAAACTTATGTTAGGGGAGAGGGGGTTACTACACTATAATCATCACCACATCAAAGCACAGGAATATTAATAAAAAAAACTATCATCTAAACAAAGGAAGAAAGAACAAGCATGAGATCTCAAAAACTATAATATTACAGTAGTTGAATCATGTAAAAAAATTAAGGTTAGATAGACATATAGCCAATGTGGCTAACAGGCTAGCTTGACAAGAATGTTCGAACTTATCGCACTACTGAAAACACAACATTACAAAAAGCCGCAACATCTCGTTTTGTTCTTCTTGCTTGTAGTGGTGGATGCAGCAGATGATAGATTGATGATGCTAGTTCGTGACGAGGACGTTGCAGACGATAATTCATCAGCACAAGGACCAGACAAGAGATCATGGCAGAGGTCTTCTAACATTAAAGCGAAGGCTGAATGCAATGTGGTATACATGACATTATGAAGAAAAATACCCAATTAGATAGTAAATTGGCTTCGAAGGCATGAAGCTTAGGAAGGAAAGGCATACTTATAGGTTTTTCTGCAGATATCTCGTAGAATCTTGCATCGAGTTCTTGTGCTTTCGCTTGACCTTCAGCTGTTGAAACACGCCGTTTATCGTATAAGTCGCACTACAATGATTAGATAAGTGATGTTTGGTGACAAACAAGAGCAATTTTCTGACCTTATTTCCTATAAGTACAACTAATGGGTCTGACATGCCGCAGCACTTGCGCAACTCTGAAAAGAAAAGGCGTTGATGATTTAAACGAGAAGTTGTTGATCAGATTGTAGACACGACTAAAACAGCCTAATCGCAGCTTTAAAGTCAACGAAACGCTGATAAGTTGTGGCATAAATCACGTACATTCTCGAAAATACAGACCAGTTTTTCTTCTGAATGGGGATGTCAATTCCAAAGGAACTGTCGCAACTCACCTCAAGACGTGGTTAAAAATCAAGACTGAACTTACCTTCGCTCCACTTATCTACGTCCTCAAAAGACTGTCTGTTAGTTATGTCATACATGATGATTGCAGCAGCAGAATTGCGCATGTACATAGGGACCTGTAATAAATCAGGTTTCAGCAAACCTCATGCCCGGGTTTGAGATATCAACACTATTGTTGTAGTGTGCCGATGTGCATGCAATTTGGAGGGTTTACAATACTTTGTCGCGTGCGATCCAAAACCGACGCGGCACGTCACAATGTGCGCTACTATGCATGCATATGGGCGCACTAAAGACAGCAGGATATAGACTTCCATATAAAAATTGGAATATAAACGGATAAGCGCTACGTTTGAAAAGAATCATTACTACATAACTGACCATGCAACGAAAACGCTCTTGCCCAGCAGTGTCCCATATCTGAAGGCTAATATTTTCGTAGCTGGTCTCCCTGAAAACAGGTATTGAATGTAAATAGTGCAACGTACGTGAGTCACCTACACTTCGCATTCAACGAACGAAGCTCCAATTGTTGCTGTGAAAGGAGCTAAACGGTTTCCAAAACGATGGCGATAGATTACCGATGTCTTACCAACACCTAAAAGGACACTGTGAAGGAAACAACTAGGCTTATAATTCTTATTTACTGCCTCCATCAAAAGAAAAAAACAATTTTTTAAAAAATTTCTAGATACAGCAAAGCAAACCTGATGAGCCAACAACAACGATTTTGGCGCGAGTTTTCGGAATTGAAATTGATACATCGGCTTCGTGATCACGGATTGCTGAGCGGACTTTTTCGTATGCATAAATGGACTTTGGGCAGACTTCAACGGCCATTCCAGCAAAGAACTGGAAAGTGAGAATGTTCACCCAGCCGTTCCAACAGTACAATTAGTTTCGCGATGTCAAAAAGCGCAGCTTTATGCACCCATGCATACGATCATGTTTTGAACTGATTAAGCTGTCATTGACAGACGGAATAAGATAACAAACGACCAACTCAGCAGGCCTAGGAAGATGAGTCAATAGCACTCGCAGTGTATATTTACAAAAGTGCTGACTTTATTATTGCTGATGAATGCGCTAAACGATAAATTGTGGGATTCATGCAAATACAAGAAACTTAAAATGCCATAAAGAGCCTTCATTTCGCCAATAGTCACTTTTATGTCAATTATCACACAACTGAATATTAATGGCGCAAGAGTATGTCGTTGTGTAACACGAAGTTGAGGCTGGAGAAAAAGTGCGAAGAAATTTGAAACTGCGATAAGATAGATCCTCATTGTTCCGATAATGAATTATAAAAGCATGGATGGTTGCAATGAACCAACACCGAAAAAAGGCGTGGCAAAGGAAGAAAAGAAATTTAAATCAAATCATAGAATTTTGCCACATCGACCATCGAAGAGAACGCGGAAGCAAATCATCAATCAGAGCAAAAATGAAATAGATAAAGGACTGAATAAGAAATCAAACTATTTTGATAATGCGAGATAACCTTACGAATCGTGCTGGATTTTGCAACAACACGCAATAATGCTTCCAGAACTTCATATCATAAGATTTTTGGGTTTTTGAACAGTTTGCATCTTCTCCTTCGTCGTAAAACCATAGAGTGAAATAATCTAATCAGTATTCGCAGCTGATGTAATGTATGAATGAGGGTTAGTCCTCGCATTACACTGGTAGTCAATTTCGTTACAGCGCCATCGAGATATATCAACGCTTTGGCTCTATGGGTCAATAGGTGATAGTATTTATACGATGAAATCGATGGATAAAAGAAACTGCTGATAAAGTCAGAAAACTAGAGTAGGAGTATCAAGCCAAACAAATGTGGGATAAGGTCAGCGCATGCAAAGAGTTGACCGACGTGTCGTGACCTCGGTACAATATCAATATAGACAGATACATGGAAAGAGATAAGAGTTCAGGTAATTTAGCTATCAAAGATCAAGAAATTGGTAGGCGGTGATAACGGTGATAATAATGCTTTGTACTGATTGAGATGTAAAGCATTTTCCTTTCAAGGAAAGGCTTATCACATTTGGACCATCTGTAGAAAAGATAACAAACTAGGGCAATCCAAAAATGCTCAGAGATGTACGATTCCTAGACCTGTGCCATATCTGTAGATAGAGCATTATGACTGAGGAGACAGTATAAAACGAAAAGTAACAAGAAGACAATATAAAGTAACTGAAAGAGGTCCTCTACTTGGAAAATGCATATCTGTGCAGATTTATAAAAATTGGATGACTACGGAACGTGGCTGAACGAGGGTTACCGTAGTAATTTTGCAGTGATGGCCGCTCAAATATTTACATTGAGAGGGCAGCACTAATACGAAGAAATGGTCTTCGCGCGAACGCTACACAGTACTACCAAATAAGCTACGGTCGAGTAGATTTTCCGCTTAATATGGTGTGCTTGCACTAAAGGTGAAATGCGGTAAAATTTGCGCGTGAAGAAGTAGCCGCACCATTACTGCCGGCATTTTGCTCGCGCATTTGACCGGCGTCACAGTCGAAGCTATTTGTTCAGCGAAAATTCCACCGCTTTTGCCCTGCAGTGCAAGCACACTATGTTGAGCGGAAAATCTACTCGACTGTATCTAGTACTTTCAGAGGGATGTGGTGCGGAAGGCGACAATCCCCAATTTTGTGCCTATCAGAAAATCTCTCCTGTGTCAAAGTGACACGGAGGGGGACTACGAGGGTGGGGAGGGGGAGGGGGGAAGGGGAGTGGAGGCAGATACACTACTCGATGTCAGAAATAAAAAATCCGTGGAAGTCATTGAGACGGATGATACACTGCCTCCATTTTGCACCGATTGTCGCCTTCCCCGTGCCCTCCCCCCCTCCCTTTCAGAGTAAAACCTTCAAGATCTTCATTATCTCCATTTTAACTGTAAATATGTGGAGACTGCGCAATTACAAATGTCATATTATCATACATTTCCTCTATGAAACATCTTTCAGCTATAGCGCTTGCTACGGTCCCTGCGTGTAGCATACTGTAGTGCAAACTGTCTCAGGCGCGGTTGTGTAACGATATGGGCGGGTCAGACGGAGGGCAAGCATTAGGCGACAAATCCTACAAAATGTGAAGAGCGTTTGTTTGAGGCCCAAAACTGGAATGTCGCTCAGAGGCAGTGTCCGGGCAAGATGGGGGTTTTGGGATTTCAGTGCCATGCGAGAGTGACCCCCGGACACAACATCACGCAAGTGCGACGTCATAACGCTCGACCTAAAGCAAGAAAAACCATCGAGAAGGGGAGAAACTTACGCCTTGGGGCGGCCTCCGTGCTGTCCGAATTATTGCTATGCGGCAGAGTATGCATGCCGCCACAATCTGCCGTCAAAATCATAGGGTCCCGCAGCGACCTGCGTCTCAGCCTTGGCGGGCCGCTGAATTTCAAATTGTAAGGCTTTGGAAAAAGGCATGTTCTCGCCGTTTTCGCGCCTTCAAATGTGGATTTTCGGTTTCAGCGTTGCGGATAACTCCCGGTAAGTGCGTTTTCTAGAAATCGAGTTTTTGCCCGGACACTGCCCTACCGGGTCAAACTGGATAATGGGCGCGCACTTTCTCGATGACTCCTCACTTCCAAAATTTGTGGGACGCTTTGCAATTAAGCGGCATTCACTTCTTGCATTTCTTATTTTCCTACTGTAAGGGAGGCGCGGTAGTGTGCGGAGGAATTCTTGTGATACATCTCTATCACTGATGCCTGCTGCGCTACGTTTTATAAAACGATGAAATGTACGTTTTTGGAAGTATGGCCAGTACATTTGAGGCTGCTGTCAGCACTTGTAAGTAATATGACCCACATGCGCGCATTTTCGAGTTTTGCGTCTATCCATTTTTGTATGCGAGAGTTTTCTGTACCACGACACTGACTGTCAAGATTAGACTGCACTCATGGTCCATCCCAAAAAGGTCCCTTTTTTTTGCGAAGTATCATGAATTAACTGATCACCAACGCGCTTCTGTACTAAATGTGAGATTATGAATACTATTGGTTCATATTCTGAGTGCCGCTAAGCAGCAGCTCACCCGCTCATCCAAATCTCCGTTCCTGTAACGATGGTAAAACTTTTAGTGGGAACAGAGGCTTTATTTATTAGGTTACATCAGAAAAGGAAATATGGTTTCGTTCTGTTAAGCTGAAACAGATGAAACTCTGCCGCCTCACATTCCACTCACAGACATTTAAAACCCCAAACGAAGCTTCTTTTTCCAGAAGCGTGATTGTTATTGCGGCGCGTGAAGCTTTTTGAGTTGGCATGTACTTCTTCTAACTCTCTGGCTTCGGAATCTCCAAGAAGAACAATGCTTATAACTAGCAGAATGGAATAAAAGATTTCTGTTTGGCAGGGCTGCAACGAATTTGCTAAATTATTCGATGAGAGTGGGATAGCGAAGGAGAGCAAAACTTAAAAGCCTAGTGCAAGGGGAAACACAATATCAGTTACTGTAGGAAAGTATCAAATTGTCCGAAGTTTCAGATGGGAACAGTTCCAATGTACTTTACAGGCTATTATTAGGTTACTATGGCGTTCAAGCGGTTCGGTTCTTGATCATCTTCGCTTTGAATTTCCTACAATGAATGCATGGGAAAAAACGGCTTTCATAATTACCCCATGATTATGTCAAATTATGTCAACAGGGGAAAAGGCCGGAAATACGACAAACAAGGGATATCTCCATATTTTGTTGTCCAAAAGATGCCCCTCACCTCTGTGGCTCAAATTAGAAAGTCTAGATCAAGTACGTTTATGGTGCGAAATTCAGTACTTCTCCTGCTTGAGTAAACAGAGACCCCCGTCACAGATGCTAACGAATAGTGAATGCAGGACAATATGAACCGACAACAGACGATTGGTGCAACGATTGCAAACAAACAGAGCGATTGGCGTGAAGTCGGGGCTGGACTACGGTACGTTACCGCGGGGGTTTCCCCGGGCGCGCGCACGCACGGTGTGCGACGGCGTGGGAGGGCAACCCTGGCTCGGCGTCGTCGCCGAACGTGCGATTTCGTTGACAGCGAACGCGCGCCGTAAACAACGACAGCAGAAGATTAATCGAGAATACCGTGTGCCGTGCGGCCTGGCCCCGTCCATTCAAAGGACCCGGGGCCAGCGGCCATTGATCGCGGATCTGTCAACGACACGGCACGAACTGAACGAACCCAGCCGGGAGATGACCACAAATCGGTCACAGCAGCTGCTGCTGAAGGTGGACGCAGGACATTACTTGTAGGAGGACGACTACAGTATACTGTGAATAGGACGCTGAAGTAAATACGAACAACACCTAACCCATCACCAGTTGTAGGAGATAACATGTTGTGAGCATGTCAAAATTACAAAATACAATTGAAGAAGGTTGTATTTAAAGCAAAGGTCTTATTCGAAAATTTATTCCTGCTACTAGATGGTTGTAGACCTTAAACACCTTAAACAGGTTTTAGGGTTGATAACTACTAAAAATGCGCTTACAATAGTCAGATCTCTTCCAAAAATTACCTGATGGTTTGAAAATAGGCAGAAAGCACAAAAAGAAAGTATGCCATTTCCTTACAGTGTTCGTTCAACATGAAAGGTAGCGGCCAAAGGGAGTAACACTCTCAGCTGCGAAGGTCGCAATGCCGAGAGGACTAAAGCACAAAGTTTTTTTGCGTTGTTAGTCCCCTCTCTCAACAGGCTCATTTGGTTCACTGTCTCACCGATTTCCTTCTACCCAGACGATAATCAATTATGTCTTCAGTGTGAAAAATTGCGAGCAATGGAGTGAAGAACTTGCTGAACTGAAGCCATTTGAAACTTGATTCAACACTGGATATACAAGAAGTTCATCATGTTAAGAAAAAGACGAAGACGAGAAAGAAATTTGTTTGAAGTTCAGACGTTTGTGGAGCGGAAACGAGATTTATCGAATCTCAATCATTCTAAATGAAGAAAATGTAGCGGATTAATTTTTGCAAGCGGGATGAAAAGAGTGTTTCTAACAATAAGTATTGAGTTGCGATACAAAACGTTAAAATAATAAATCGCGTATTTACGGAACTGTGCCCGAATTTTCTTTTTCATTAGCCTCTGCATACATTTCGTTGAAACTGACAGTCCTGGGGAAGGGTTATAATGCAGCGCCAGAGAGATAATTGTCCTATTAATTGCTCGTAAATTACTTCGGAAGGCCTAGTGGTCATTTCCTTGAGATGCACTGACGTCTCAGAAAGGCCTTTCCAATGAGGTGCTATCAAGTTTTTGAGTTTTACCGCAACAAAGGAGTAATTAAGTCTCCCCGAAAGTACTGATATTTTTTTCACTTCAAAGCGTTACACAAATATAAGAGATAAAAGATAATATGTACTCAATAGAAAAAAAGGAGATTCTGAGATTTCCAAAGATGGTGAGAGAAGCTTCCAACGCTATTATTTTCTCAGCAATAAGTCTGTTGTAAAGTCGATTGTTCAAGATGTTATATATTCATGTAGCCCACCATGATTGGCAACATTAGCACAAAAGCAGTAAAAAGTTGTACTTGAAACTACAAATTACAATCTGAGCGAAGCGATCGAGTTTTTTTTTATCTTGAAAAACAATGAATTTCTTGCGATTATAAAAAAATTGAGTTCCTCCGCTACAAATGTATCTGGGTAGTGAAGGAACTTTCTACCAATTTCTGGCATTGCATCTTTAGGCAGAATCGCTCCGTCTGACGGGTCCGCTAATGTTGACGCAAAATAAAATTGGGAATGAGCAGTGAGGAAATCATTCAAATTTTTGGTGCTGCTTAAGGAGCTAATCAAACATCGCTCTAAATTGACTTGTGAGAAGGACGTAGCAAAGCTTTATCGGATACGTCCTGAACGTTTTGCTCTTAGGTGAGAACAAAAGTCTTCAACGAAAATTTCAAAATTTTTCCGAACTTAGCCAACCACTTCGATTTGTGATATTTTTTATAGTATAAGATGTGTGTATTTTACTATAACATAATAAGGTAACCTTTCTATCAAATAATTTAGAATTCGAAAATTACAACTTCTTTTTAAAGACATCCAGTAAATGAAAATCGGTTGATAAAACAAAGTCATCAAACCGGAATCAAAGTGAAGTTATTGGAGTTTTTTCTATAAATTATCGAAATTGAAAAATGCATTCCGATATGAAGACATAACTTCTGCTTTGAGCACTACTACAAAGCCAACATTTTTACTAGCCAACCAACATCTTTTGGTATTACACGGATACACTGAATCCAACTTTTCTAAAATTTTTATGCTCTTATTTTGTAAAGTGATATTTCTATTTTTGGCTCGCCATTTACTCATACTTATAAAAAAATCATCTGGGTGCCCTAAATACACGGTACAGAAAACCGCATCTTGACTGAGAATTCTAGGGAATCACCTAGGACAAATTTGACAGCATAGTTTGTAGTTAGCAAAAGTTGCTATTGGGTAAATTCTATGATTTTTATTTGGTTCTGGGTCTCTAAATTTTGAAGAAAGGATTTGATTGTTAGGTTACAATGTAACGCATCTAGGCTATGTCTGTTTGCTTTGCGATGGCGCTGAGATCTAAAGACACATCAGTCAACCGCATCCAATTTACGGCTCAACGCGCACTAAGCCCTGCACATGTTGGGGCGAACGATACGGCTGATGTGCGATGACAACCTTCGACAAACAAAGTATTATGCTTACTTTGCGCTTCACAGCGCGCATAAGCTGTATAAGCCCAGCCAATGGGATGAGTATCAATATTGCGACTGCTCAACGCCTGCATCATAGTATATGTTTGAACTATGTGTGTTCAAAGGGCACCGCGTTCTTTTCACAACCCTTTGCAAACAGCGGCAATCCTGAGATCTGTACTTTTTACTAGTAAACTACAGAACACTTCTGCCTTCAGTCCTTCTGCGAACGGCCGGCTTAATCCCAGCCAGAGATTAAGCCGGCCGTTCGCAGGAGGACTGAAGGCAGAAGTGTTCTGTAGTCTACTAGTAAAAAGTACAGATCTCAGGATTGCCGCTGTTTGCAAAGGCCATCCAACGACGAAGGGGAGAAGAAAATGAGAACCTGTGGAAGAGTCGTGGCTGGTTCACCAGGGTGCCCCTTATGAGGAAGTCAAAGAGGATCCAGCGTTGTCAGCCGAACCCGCACCTCTCAAGCAATTCCTGGCAAAATGAAGTGATGGTCCTCTTTTCAAAACGATTTCGAAGTACGTAAAGCTCGCTATGAAAAATGCCTTATGAAGATCATCACGGTTTTTGTATTGTAATGCGTCGAGAATGAATAAATATTAGGTTGTCCCGAAAGTTTTGTCGGTTTTTTCCATCGCTCACTAAAACC